CCAGACTACAGTAATCCAGACTGACTGAAACTAAAACCTCCACCTTGGATGCGGTGAACCCTAGTGGGACCGGAATAAAAGTAAAACAAATCATAACTTGCCACATCAGTCTGGATTTCTGTCTGGATTACTTTAGTCTGTAAACATATAATTATTGATACAGTAAATCTGTTTCCTTTCTTAAAATTTTGAGAAGAGAACCATAGTCTGGAGCGACATATTTCTACTTAGGGAAAAGAACATGAGTATGACTTTCCATTACAACCTTTGTTAACCAAAATACAAAGTACTATCCACTCTTTATCACACACCAGACATGCTTTGCTGACACCACGGCCAATTGATCGCTCAATCTTCAAAATACCAATTACTCTTCAACAGATTGCTCAATATTCAAAATACCAATTACTCTTCAACAGATTGTCACATTACTCGCCAATGACAGTTGCATCTTCAAAAGATTGTCACATTACTCGCCAATGACAGTTGCATCTTCAAAAGATTGTCACATTACTCGCCAATGACAGTTGCTAATTGTGAGTACATGGACTTGTTCAGATTGGCCAGGTTCAAAAGACCCTTTATTCAGTGAATTTTTTACTATTCATAATTTTAAAACTGTTTTGCATAATTAACAGAAACGTAAAAACTTAAAAAACTGTTTTGAGAACTATAGTATACTGTTCACGCTTTTAATAGAGTAGGAAAGATGGCAGGTTTTGACAGTCCATAACTTTAAACCATTTCCATGGTAAAGGATAAACTACTCAAGTAAATGGATGGAAAAGTATCTCCCAATAATACTCCTACAGTCCATACGTAAAAAGTATAAACCATTCCAATGTAATGATAAATAGCTAGTATACAAGAAAAAATGTACACAATTTTTAACAAACGGAGAAATCGGCTATTAAGAAAAGGATCAATTAATAAAAAATTAAAAAAAGCAGAAACCTCAAGGGGTCATTCAACTGTCAGATATTATTAAACTGACAAAATACTGCAACATGGGAAATACATAGAAAAGTTTTTTGGAACAAACCTGTGAATCATCATAACAAAAGGCTTTAAAACAATGTAAATTCATGTGTATGAATCTAACAAATACAATAAGAGTTCATAAAACTTCAAAAATAAAAAACGCTAGAACAGGTGCAATACCATGTTTCAGTGTCCACTAAAAATATTTCCAAATAAATATATAGGCTGGCCAAAAAGAAAATTGCCTAACCAAAGGTTCTGAAAACAACATAGAACCAAGACAAACTATTCAACCGCCAATGATAAATTTGTCATGCAGAAAAATAAGAAATTTAAAAAGTAGAGATCAAAAGTAAAGTGGACAAGCAAATGGGTAATAAAACCAAAAATAGATAAAACAACAAAATCAAATAAAGGAATGTATTCCCATGAAGCATACATTATTATATTAAATAGCACAAAATATATAAAAATAGGAAGTGTCTGAAAGTCATAATAAAAACTTGTAGAAGTCACCATAAAGCAGAAAACCCCATAAAAAGAAGGCAATAAGAAGTAGGAAAATCTCGAATTCTTCGTTGACCTACTCTACCAAACAAATAGTCGGAGCCTAAGTTTGAACAGCTTCTACAATTAAACCTTCATCTCCAAGCAATTGGTCCGGAACTGACCTCCCTACAAGTATGCTTCAGTGCTACACTAATACCATCATTATAGCGCATCCACCATTTTCTGCAAATCAAATCTGTAAATAAGAGTATTTAGAAAATCATTTGACTATTGACAGTTAAAATTATTAAGTAAACGTTTTTTTCAGAATCGTGGACCATAGTAGGCCTCTAGAACAAAAAAAAAAAAACACAAACTCAAGCTGGCGCAAGTGAAAAAAAAAAAGCGTCCACTTTATATTCATCAATGTAGATTTCAAAATTCAAAATCAAAGAGGATGTGTTCAAGGTGTAAGAATTGCAAAAATAAACCAGTGCAATCTTAATATAAAAATGGTGAAAATAATGTGTGGCTCAAAGAAAAATGTATTTTGAAACCAACAGGACAAGGCAGGACAAGTAGAGCCTGTGTGAGCTAAGTAGATTGGAAAGCTCCTTAAAAGATAATGAGAAGGAAATCTCAACCTACACAAGTGAATACTATCTATAAACAAAATGCTCAAATGCTAAGTAGTTCCACCCACCCCACTGGGAGTTAGGATACCCATAGACAAATTACTGGTGGCATTCTCTAAGTTACAAATTAGTAATAGGCTTCCAAAAGACAAATCTCTTTCCAACTCACACAAGGCCCCTCTGCACCATTGTAAGGTTTGAACAAAACTTGGTCTAAAACATTGGTGCCGCACTACATCAATCCACCAACTAAGAATAGTATGAGTTGCAAACCACATGGCACTCCAATTCGAAGAAGACCACAAATTGCTAAAATGTTGTGTCCAATTCCGAAAATACACAACCACATGAGCTCGATATAATGTGGTAAAGTTTGGAGCGAGTCAGAACTTTATAGCATAAAAGTGAAAAAGTGATTTTGTTTTAGATTTTGAAAAAAGATGCATACAAAAACAGAAAATATAACATCTGATGAAAAATATATATACGCATATATAAAAATACAAAAGCCTGCTAATAAAATAAGTTAGTTGTAATTAAGTCAAATATTGGCAAGTGAAGTGTGATTAAAAGAAGAAGGCTCAAAAATTAGTTTCAATCTTAATTTTTAAGTGTTTATCAAAATATTTTAAAAATTTGGGAAAGCTGACAATTGGAGAAAAAAAACTATAAGATTGAAAATTAAGGTAAAATAAAGCATGACAAATCTATTAAGATTATTCTTACCACATGTATGGTGGACAACCAGTTAAAGGTCCACCCAACGTATGCATTCTTGTGGCAGATGACTGCCCAAGGAACTGTTGGGAATTCTGGTAGGGGTTAAGCCCTTGCAAAGGTGGGTTCATGGTATTAGGTCCTCCAAACACCGAAGGATTACCTCCTAAAAGACCCATTCCATGGGGAACACCATATCCTCCTAGCCCTGCAGAAGTCCCAACTGAATTCCCAAGCATATGAGCCGACTGGAACGCACCTGGGTGCATCATACCCTGAAACAAAGGATTCACAGATCCCGCAATCAACCCAGGATTTGGATTCATCAAATAACCATTATAAGCCGGGTTCAAACTAGGATGCTGACTAAACATTGCTAAGTTTTGAGCTGCTGCAGCAGCAGCCAACACTGAAGCCTGTGCGGGTTGCTGCTG